GAAGACAGGGAAAGAGATCAAAAAGAAGAATTTGTAACAGAGAACACAGACACTGGTGCAGCGATGGGGTAAAGTTACAGGGACAGTGGGATCAGGAACAGGGAAACTTGAGAAATCCAAGGAGAAAAAAAGCATTGCTAGGGAAAAGCCTGTATAAATTTTCATGGATGCAAGAGTGGATATGTATAAACAGGAAAATAAAGGCAGTCATGACTATCCCCATTGCACTTTCTGCCATTGTTACAACCTTCAAAAGCTTACTGCCTGCCTGTTCTTACTCTTATGAAAGTTAACTGTTTGCTGACAAAGCTCTTTATATACATAATTCGTGTAAGTCCAGGAGTCTGTGCTTATTTTACTCTTGCAGATCTTACTGGAATGCGCCAGGGACATCCATTTATCAGGTCCAAAGCTGAGCTTTGTTTTTCCCTCTCCTCCTTGATGAAAACCTGTCAGTAGGTGCCAGTGTTCAGAATCTGATGTTCTTAGGACCCCATTGTTCTGTCACATTCCTGACAGCTTTCAGTGAGTGGAAAACAGCTGCCACCTTCATCTCCACACGTGTGTGATATTAACAGTAGATGTGGTGACCCTCATATCTTCTTTCAATGTGTCTTTCTATAATTGAAGCAATATACACATTTTTTTCTGGGAGAGATAACAGATGAGTGACTCAGTGGAGAAATTCACTCACTCCCCTGTACAAATACTTCTATAGGTGCTGGTAAATATACATAGGCTGATTAACTGAAAGCAGTGTGCCAGGACAAGAGCCTGATTCAGTGGTTTAAACATTCTCCAAATGCTTCTATCTGAGCAAAGCCAAAGACAAAACCAGTGCCCCTCCCAGTGCTTGCTGTGACCTGGCACACCTGGCACACTCCTGGCTGCCGGAGGCCGCCTGAGCAGTTCAAATGCCTTTTTATCACACTTTCTTTTGTTGTAAAGGAGATGACATCTGACTCTTTCTCAGTAATAAAATCCCCTCCAGAGCTCCAGGGATTCACTGAAATTGCTGGCAGGTTTTCATGAGATGGAAATGGTTGGAGAGTGGTAGCTGGTGGTGATGTGACGGCAGTCCCTGCTGGCCTACCCAGTAACATCCATCACAACATTTGTGTTGAGGCCCAGAGAGAGACACTGACGGAGGGCAGGAAGGGAGCAAAGTTCCCAGCTCTTTTTCTGCAGGTATTTTGCAGCAGGAACAGTTGGGTTTCTTTCTGTATTATAAGATTTTGGGTGTGTAGGAGAGAAATCAAGAGATGGTGATGCTCATAGGTAACTCTGCTGCTCGTGCCAGCAGTCAGAGCTGAGCTAAGGGACTTAGTGTGGCAAGGGGGCAAGGAGACTGAGTGGATGTGCAGTCTAGTCCAGTGTGTGAAGGCAGGGAGGGGAACTGTGGTGGTGCCTAATGGATTGCTGCTCAGAAACACAGCATTTGCCTCTGGGAATGACACTTCCATGGCTGAGCCGGGGTGCTTGAAGTGAATTAGGCTGTATAATTTCAGGTTGCCTGTGAGTCAAAGAAAGTTTTTGGAAACTCATTCTTTTTGGATTGCTTCAGAGACAGAAAAGGAAATTTCCTGCAAGACGGAAAAAGAAAAACCAATATTTTCTATCTTACTTGTAAAAAGTGCCTCAAGATTTTTATGAATTCTTTGTTACAGATTGCCAACAAAGTTAATTGAAAGACTGGACAAAAACCCAGACTTTTTTCTTTATCTGAATTCTTGCCTGTGCTTTGCCTAAGAGCACTCAGTGTCTGTGCTATTGAATGTGTCCATGTGCAAAATGAAAATGGATTGCTGCTGGAAAGTTAAAGAAAAAAATCAACAAAAACTAACCTTGAATTGCTCAAAATAATTCTTGCATGGTATCTTGTTGGCTTAAGGCTGACAGTACCTCAGATGTACAAAACCAACAATGCACCCCTTCTTTCTCTGATAAATCAGAGAAGTTAAGCTTTTGTTGTGCCCTCAGCCCCGGCTGGCACTGAACATGCCCAATGTTCCGTGCCTTCCTGTTGCTAATTGAGGTGGCCTCTTCCTGCTGGGGATCTGTTCCGCACCAGCAACAGGAAGTCCTGAAGCCTTTAGAGCCTTTGATGCTCGTTTGTGCCTGCATCTCCTCACAGCAGAGATGTACATTTATGAAACGCCTCTGCTGGGAAACCACTGGCTTTTCTTGTGGTCTGGCTCTCACAGTGCTGGAAGGAGCAATGATCCATGTTGAGAACCAACAGGAGGGAACAGCTTCCAACATGCTTCGCTGCATGGGAATGACAATGGCACAGCAGCTATTATTCACTGAGGGCACAGAGGCTGGCTCTGAGCGGGGGGGATACTGCTGAGGTGAAATCTGCTTCATTATATTCAATAAGGGATGTGCAGAGCATGAACAGGTCAGTATCTTTGACATGATCAGCAAAACAGCACTGGATTAATTCCTGTGTAATGCTTTGCTTTATTTACAGCAGTTCGGGATGTGTGCTCATGTAACAGATGTCCCCACGTTTAACAGGTGTCCCCACCTGCATCATGGCCAGTGGCCCTGACCTGCTCACACTGCGGCAAGAGAATCGCAGGTTCGGCAGTAAATCAGTATCATTCCTCAGGCTCCTCTCTTGGCTCACCTCAAGGTTTGTGCAATTGATGTCATCCTTTGTCAAACAGCTTCCACATTGATAAACCAGAGCAAAAATAACTCCTGTCTCCTGCCTGCTACCTGATTAAGGTTTTTAAGGTCAGGATTCTTTCTTAGTAGCTGTCCTGTAACTGGTGCAGTACAGTCTGGTCTCAGTCAAGCTTTTTCAGGGCTGTTTTTGTACCAGTGAGTACAATCCAGGTTGCTTTGGGGCTGTATGCTACCATTACATCCCTGTCACAGCCAAGGTTCCCTGCCTGGTAAAGAAAATATATAGCAGCAAGTTTTATGACTTACTGTACAGATAGAATGCAAGGTGGCACGTTTTTCTTAAGGTATATTCATTTTCATCAGAGTGAACGGCATTTTGAAGTAAAACTGTTGTCAATTTTCCTTATGTGCTGGAAAGCACAGAGAATTAGAGGATATCTGCATTGGAAGGGACCCATCAGGATCATTGAGTCCTACTCCTGGGCTTACTCAAAAATGCCACCATGTGCCTGAGAGCATTGTCCAAATGCTTCTTAAACTCAGGCTTGGTGCTTTGACCACTTAGCTGGGGACCCTGTTCCAGAGGTTTTACCTCCCAGAGAGGCTGTGTTTTGTAGCATGAGGGGACTCTCTCATCTGCTGCTGTGTCAGTGTTGGGCCTGACAGCTCACTGACTCAGACCTGAGTTCAGTAGCCAGACCCTGTTAATGTGCCCAGCACACCCCAAGCTGCTCCTGCTCACCCCAGGGAGCAATGCTGCTGGCAGGGCCTGGATGGAAGCCTGAGACCCCCATGAGAAAACACATTTGGAGAGAGGGGCAGAAGAGGAGGAGGACACATGGAAGGTGGAGGGCTCAATATCACAGTCTAGCAGCCACAGGATTAATGTTCAGCTGCCTTTTGTCTTGCATTAAATACCCAAGAGATGTGAGTTAAGGGAACTGAACTGTGTCTGTGTGTGAGTGGTATTGGCACAGTGAAATCAGTTGTGTCAGTGGTTTTTGGGCATGACTGGAGCCATCAGCTGGATGCTGGGGAAAGGGAAGGGGAAGAAACATGGGTCTGATCATGCCCCTGGGGACACTGCCCTGAGCCCTGTGCTGATGTGCAGGGGACAGGGAGGCAGTGGGATGGGCACAGCCTGCCAGCACAGTGTCTTCAGAGCATTGGAACACCAGTGTGCAAGGGCTGAATGCCTCATGGTAGAACAAGAACCAGCCTGGATCCTGCACAGTCTGGAGAGAGCAGATACCACTGTCTTCTGTTATGGATCTGCTCCTTTACCTCTGGGCTCATGGTTCTGAGATAGATTGGCCTGGACTGGACACACCACATGAGCTGAAGTGCCTTGTTTGATATTAACACAGTTGGGTCTTGGAATCACTTCTGCCAGACATTTATCATCTGTGTGCTGATTGCTGTTATTCACCTCCCTTAGACCCAAGCAAGGTGCAAGAAGCCTGCAATCCTTTTCTCTCAGCACATTAGTGTAAAGCCTCATGAATCTCTATTAAATTTGAGAGAGAACATGAAGCTAGGTTGCAGCTGCCTTGTTGACTTTATATTTCCTCTCATTTCAGTGCCTTGCCATGAAGCTGAGAATTAAATGGCTAATAAGGCATCTGCTCCAAGTGGGAGTCTCAAGATTGTTACAAAAGATCTTACCTCAAGGTTTGGGTTGTTGGTTTTTCTTGCCATCACATATCACATTATTAAAATCATTTGGGATACTTGTTTAGGGGTAGTGACTGTCAAAAGCAGCTTAGCTGGCAGAGTAGTTAAGTAGGTGTTTCCTGGACTTAGCTGGGTGCTGGAGCTGTGTCTGGGAGGTGGCTGGAGTTGTGGGGCTGGGCAGCATCCACGGGAAGAGGACTGTAGAGGCACAGGGGCCCGGCTGGCTGCTGCTCTCTGCATAACCTGTGACGGATAAGCTGAAGTCCTGGAAGAAATGGACTCTGAAACAAATGCGAGTGTGCTCTGTTTTGGGGTGGCAGATGGAAAATGCACTAAAACATCTCCCAGTCTCCATCTGGAAGAGCGGTGCCCAAAGAGAAAGGAACCCTCTCTGGGAGCAGGAGGCAGGGTCAGGGTCAGACTTACTGTCAGACAGGGAGTTGGCTGTGGGCCTGGGAAGTGGCAGCAGTCGTGTGGCATTCTGCACTCACCCCATAAGGACCCCTAGGTTCTGTACAGGCCTGAGCCTGTCTGCTTATGGGCAGGAGATAAGGCTGAGCCAGCTGATCTGGGGACAGAGACTTGTTGGCAAAACAGAGCTGATGGGGTAGGAATCACAAAGCCTCAGAGACTGCTCCAGTGATGGGCCTAAGAAAAATAAAACATTTTTCTTACTAATGAAATACTGAATATTTTCATTAAAATATTATATTTTTTATTTATGGAAATTTGTTTTAGGCCAGTAACACACATTTTTAAAGATGAGGTGTAGGCACTAACACACACTCAACTGCCATTACAGGCCAAATGGACCTTGGCTCATGGCTGTCAGAAATGAGGATGCTTTGGCTCTCTGTGATGAAAAACCCATTAGCAACAGAGCAACAATCATCCCATATGTGAAGCACAGCTGGTTCCATTCTGCACTGTGAGTGGTTTTGTACAAAGACCTGTCTGCTGGGGACTTCCAAACTTGGATGTTCCTTGTCATGTTCCAACTCTCTTCCCAATTTCTCGGCTGCGGTACCTGGAGATGCAGAAATGTCCCTGCTGCTGCAGAGGCCCTGCAGACAAAGAATTTCACGGTCATTCTAGTCATTAAACCTTCATTAAAGTTCACCTTTACCATCTTCAGCCCCTACGTTTTTCAGTACTGTTATAATTAACTTTTAAATGAAGACTTATCTTTAATAAGCAACTGTGTTTGGCTGAATTGGAATCAAATTGAAGCATATGGATATTTATATTCTTTGCTTTCCCACCTCCTAAGGCTTAGCAGGCAGGCTCATTTCAAGTGTAATGTCACCAATTTCAGGGATTAATTAGACTCACATTTTGTGGCATAGTTAAAATATTATTGAAAAAAGAACAACAAAACAACCAAAAAAAAAAATCTGCAAGGGATTTTCGGCTCTGCTCTAAACCTCTAGCATTGTATAAATGAGAGAGATGCATTTGTACCAGCAAAAACAATTATGACTGATGGATTGGTGTGATTTGGCACTTACTTGTTTGGTTTTTTTTTCTTCCCTGTAGATGAAGTTCACTGTTAAATTTGGGATTTGCTGTGTTAGAAATCATTCCAAGGCACCTGGAATTCATTAGCCCCTGCTTTTGAATTTTTCCACGTGAACACCAATAGGAGGAGACTGGTGGTGACTGATTCTGGGGCAGACTTGCCTGCCTTCTGGGTCCTGCAGAAGGGTTCAATGCCTTCTACTCTGTAAGTTCCTACTCCTCCTTCTCCCCCCTAGCAGTTACCACAGGCTGATGTAAGTGTTGTCCAGCCTTGGGTGAATTATACAGATACCTTTCACCCCTATAAAATGCTCAGGATGGAAAAAACAGTGTGCTTGTCCTCTCTCAGCTAACTCAAACACTCCTGCCTCTGTTTGCTGAATGCTCCAACTCTTCCTCTGGACTTTTCTTCCCCGTCTCCTTGGAAAAGGGAGATCCTTGTTTCCAGGATGTAGGACATTGTAGGGTCATTTCCAGCACACTTCAGAATATGGGCTTCAGGTGAATTTGTTTCAAGCACCTTGGCATCAGTACCAGGCTGAGAACTTCTACATGTAGGGCTGGTCCACCCTTCATCTTCATTTGAGACAGTCCTGCCATAACCTGACCCTCAAATGCTGCTTATGCAAATACTCCTTTGCATAGCTAATGGATGTTTATTGATGCTAACCTGGCAAAAATAAGTCATTGCTTATTAAAACTGCTTTGCCTTCCCCTGGCCTTGAATTTATCCTTGAAGTCTAACGTAAAAAGATGCTAAGAGTCCCTGAGTGACTGTTGCTTTCACTGAAAGTGGCTACAAAGAGTTTTCCCAGTGACCTGACAGTACTGGGCAAACTGCTTTTGCTGGGTTTCTACTCTGAATCTCCCAGTTTTACCCATGTGAACATGTTGCCATGTTTCTCAGGCTGCTGTTAACTCCACCAGACCAGTGGCTGTCCATGTGTTCTTAGTTAAGAACAGTTATGGGATATGGAGGCAAGTAGCATATGTCTAAGATAGGTACTCACTTCACTTCCATTTTAAACATCTAATTCTACCTTCAGCGAGGTTGGTCTTCACCTGTTTACCTTTGCTCCCATCAAGTTACTGCTAAACACCTTCCACGTCTTGTCCCTTTTGGTTTTAACATGCTCAGATTAACAATGACCATGTTCAGTGGATAGGAAAGAATATATATATTCCACTTGACTTTGCTAGTGCTCTTCAGGTCAATAGGAAGAAATTTTTTTGGTGATAAAGGGAAAGGCCATTTAAAAATAAAGCTGTGACAGCGTGTGCTGCTAGCACATGAACTGAAAGGATGAGTTCATTTGGGGAATGTTGCCTCCCCTCCTGAAATACTTCACTATCTGTTTCTAGTCGCAGCAGGTACATTTGGCCCCAGTAAGCCTCAGAGAGCAGGATGATGTTGATGGCCAAGATGAAGAGCAATGGAGAGGCTCTAAAGATCAGGAGAACTCAGTTTCAGCTCTGTTACACAACCCTGGGCTGGTACCTCAATCTGAAGGAGTCTTGTGTTCTGCAGGCAATGGCCACAGGAAGGGAACATCTGGCTCAGAGAAACACAGAGACTTCCAGAGCTGACCCTGCTGTGTGGGCAGCCAAGACAAGTCTGGTAATGCAAAGGCTATAGGACACCTGCGGTAGGGCAAGGAGCTGAGCTGCTTTACACTGGTAAAGATACAGCTGCTTCTTCTAAATCTGCCACATCTTCTTCTAAAACTGCCATAAAGATAGGTGGCAGATGATCTCCTCACAGAGTTTGGGGTCCTTCCCTTGCTGCTCCTTGTAGACATTTTTCTTTCCTCTTCCCCTCCCTATATTTTTGTGGAATAGGATGCTAAATTAGGGAGAAGAAAATCATGATGTGGCTGGACCAGGGGCAGTGACTTCTGAAGAAAGCTCCCACAAAGGACTGAAACCAGTGCAATGCTGCCTGCTGGCCTCGTGAGAACATCCTGACAGCATCAGGTGAGGGGAGAGAATGGAGTGGGGTGTGAGATCCATGTCTGGCATGGCCAAGAGCCAGATGTGGGACTGACTTGAACTGGGACAAGTGTGCTCTGTGACTGTCTGGGGGGTGGTAAAATCAGGAGCCCTCTGCTCCACTGCATCCCTGGGATCTGCTCTCAGGAGTGCTGGAGACGACAGGAGAAAAGGTACAATTCAACCGTATTCCATATCACCAGAACAATGATAAAATGCCTGTCAGGAACACTTCTCCCAAAATGGAGCTCAGGCAAGCAACTGGATGCTGCAGTCTGGTGTCATGCTGGGATAGGGACCGATTCTGCTCCCTGCTGCACAGCAGAGTTGTTTGCTCAGGCTCTGCAAGGTGGTGATTGCTGGAGCTTTGGGGTGTGGCAGTAGCTTGTAAAGATTAAGATGAAATCTCTCAGCCCTGTGTTTGGTTTACTTGTTGCTGCCTGGGTTGCCAGGGCTGCCCTGCACAGGGCATGGAGGCCTCTGTGTAACTCCCAGGGTGATGTTCTGGCTGTGCTGCATTGCTGTTTGACAGGGCAGAGGCTGAGACATTTGTTTCAGAGGTACAAAACGCAGCTCTTAAAAACCCACACAGTCACCCTAAATCCTAAGCAAGGATAAAGCAGGACTAGAAGAACCCCCAATACAGTTAAGCCCCACTTTTGCCTCACTGCCAGTGCTCAAGTTTAGCACAGTACCCACAGCTCCACACCCATTGCTCACACTGGGAGCAGAGATATTGCAGTACCTGGAAGATGCTCAGAGTAACTGAAGATAGAAGAAGGTACTTCAGTATGGGGCCAGCTAAGAGTCCTGGAGTCATCACACAATTCAATGAGACTTGTACCTTAAGCACCTGAAAGTCTCATCAAACAGAACCTGCTCATGAAGGATTTGTAATTTATGTTGAAATCTCTAAATGATCTTTTGGGGATCAGCCTGATGTGCCCACTCTAAGGATATCTAAATGACATGTCACATACCAGCTGTACTCACTGCATTACAATAGCATTCAACAGGATTTAAATTAGCTTCAGCACTCTAATCGTGTTGCTACTATAACAGCAGCAAGATAACTCCCAGGCGTTGGTTATGTAGCCTCTGAGGGAAAGAGATTTCAGATGTGCTCAGCAGAAATGTACCGTGTGAGCCATGGTTATAATTTCATTAACAGGATGCTGCTTGGCTCCTGCTGGGAGTTGGAGGAGATTAGCATTATAATGGGGATCAGGCACCTTTCCTTGTGTTCATACAGTTCTCCAGCCTGCAGGAGGACGAGCTGTCAGAAGATGTGATCCTCAGACCTTTAGCCTGGTATTTGACACGAACTTGAAGCTTCTTAGAACATGCTGAGCTCTGCACAGCCCCCACCTTACTGTGCTACCCTACAGGCTCTGGCATCCCATGCTTCATTAAGCTCCTCCTTCTTCTGTGGCAGCATCTGGCTCTGCTGCTCCTGGCTTCTCTGGGACATTGCCACCTCCAAATCCTGCCTCCACCCTTTCATCCCACCCACGTGGATTTCTTGGAGTTCAAGTATAGGAATAACCTGGATTTGAGAGAGTTCTGGGGGCAGATTTGAGCATCCAACACAGACTGGCACAACCAAAATGTACTTTTCACCTGGACTAAGCTTGGGGAGAATAGGTGTGTTAACAATTTCAAATGTGTGGTCACCTGCCTAACTCCAAAATGTTTTATTAATGCTGCAAATGTACTCGGCTTGTCTTCTTAGCTAGATTTCCTCCTTGTGGCAGAAACATGTTGCCTGAAGCTCTAGAGCTGCTCTCACCACCTTGTGCTTGGGTCATCTGGAGGTGTCTTCCCACCTACCATTGACAACCTTTCCAGCAGGGTGGGGGGCATGTGTTTTGACTTGTGCTGCCCAAGGAGCACACTCAGCTGTGTCTGTTGTGTGCACCTGTCTTCCCTTGGTGCAGTGTTTGAGAACAGAAAATTTATTGTGTTCAGTGAGTGTTTGGTACCAAATAACCACACTGCCCTTGCACAGGTAAGGAAGTGCCCCTGTCCTCAAGCCATAGGAACTGTGGGGTGGTTTTGGGGGCATCACCTGATGAATGCCAGGCCTGTGGCATTTGGGAAGGCACAAAAGCTTTGCCCAAAGTGCATGGCTTTAACCCAGTTGTACTCCCATTGCTGGGACTGACTGTCCCTTCCCTTTCCTCAGTGACACTTCATCCTGTCATGCTGGTCACGTACTGGCTAAAGGCACAATATTGATATTTTGGGGTGTGATAATGCCTCTGCTCCTAGTAAGCTGGTGTAAGTTTTTCCAAGTGTTTCACTTGCTGTCTAGATGGAACAGGCTGATGAGAATCAGCCAGGTCCCTGGGAGCTCCCGGGCTCAGGTGTACAAAAAAAACCCTCTGCAAATCAGCTTGTTTGCCAGGGAGTGATTTAAGATGGAGAAGAGGAAAATTAGCGTCAAAGGCTAATATTTAGGCAAACTGTATGGGTTTTGTTGCTGGATATTTAAATTTACCCATCTAGCACTGCCTAAGGAGGCCAAAGCTTGTGTCAGCTTCCATTATAGGGCTAATCAGTGTGACTGTAGTGTGTGGTAACTCTGCTGATTCTCTATAAATCAGCACTTCAAGTTATCTGTTGCTCTAAAGCATCTTTAGGGCTCCAGTGAGCCTCCTGCTTCCTATTTTGCTACCTAAGGGAAATAGTCTTGCTTTTTAGCTGGCTGCAGTCAGTCACTTCAGTTTATGGCCCATTCAGGAAGGTGAATGTCTTCTAGCTCTCCCCTTTAACCTCTCCTCAGTCTCTCAGCTGACGGCACTTCAGCAGCTTTTCCCACTGCCCACTGGCAATTACTGATGAAATAAAAGATATAACAATATAACAACAATATAGAATATATATATTCTATATATAGATATAACAATATAACAACAATTTTGAAAGAAATGTAACTTTTAAATCTTCATGGCTGTCCTTTAAGAATCAGAATGAAAGAAAAGTGTTTTGTTTTGGTAAGATAATTTAAATGGAGGAGAAATGTAATTTATTATTTTAATTTCTCTAATTATTGTGGATGGTGGATTGTTTGGGGTTATTTTTGCTAGTTTCTATAAATAAGCCACTGTCTTATTCTCTGTAGATGCTGTGCCTTTCTCCCTTCAAGGGACCACTTGCATATCGGCACCAAAGGGGTCTTTTTTATCTTTAAAGTCCCTGCAGATTCCCCTATGATCCCTGGCTCTTGAAGCAAATATCAGAGTAAAAGAGGCAGGACATGACTAAGTTTGGGAATATTTTTGTATGTTCTGAGGTATCTGTCTTATGTGTGTCTCTGGATCAGGAGGTGTGATGGTGTGTTGAATTTCAAATCAGCCCTCCATGTCTCCTGTTTGGCGAATAGTTTGGGGTGGGGTTTTTTGAAGCCTAAGGAAATAGTGTAGTTTTTTTCCATACTAAAAGCTTGTGAGAGGGATATAATATTATCTGCGTGCAAAGTCAAGAATGCAAAAGATGTCAGGAGATCTTAGTCAAGAACTGGTACCTAAGATGTTCCTGGTCCCACAAGACATATAAAGAGTCACCTGAGTCTTGCAGGCCAGCAGACCTCCTGGGTAAGGGCCCCTGGGCTTGTTGCCATGGTGTTGTCTGGCAGCTTTTCCTAGTTTTTTATTCCTCTGACTTTTCTCCAGTCTCTTGTACCACCCACCTGTAACTGGCCTTTGCCTCTGCCCTTGGAGCAAGAGCAACTAGAGGGCTCCTGGCTGTGACCTCAGACGCCATGCAGGGTGATGGCAGAGCTGCCTTATCCCAAATGTCCTGCCTAGCCCAATACCCTGAGCAGATTCCCCCAGGGCAGGACCGGGCATGTCCCGGTTCCTGGTGCCCTTGGAGCGGTGTTCCAGGAGGGATGAGACAGACCCCTGTCACTGCCATTGTCTGAGTGACTACAAAGTGCCACTTATGGAAGGAGACACAAACGCAGGTGAATTCCTGTGCTGAGCCAGCAGTCCAACATAAATCACATTACAAGTAGGAATAAGCCTAATTGTACCAGACAGCAATTAGTATGTTTTACTGTCAGCAGACAGTCCACTTGTCCTGAGCAGGGAAAGTTGCTGCTGTCCCCTGGCAGAGGACTTTTGTTCACTGAGAGCTCCTGAGGGATGGCTCTGGCAGGGTGAGGGGTTGGTATTTGGTACAATGTGCATGCTGTGGGGCACAAGGTGGGTTCTGAGGTGCTGGAAGCAGCACATTCCTCACTGAGTCCTCCACACCCCTGTTCATGCCCTAAACCCCTTAATTAAATCATGGCATCAAGTGCCATATCCAGTCTTTTTTGAACACATCCAGGGATGGTGACTCCCCCACCTCCCCAGGCAGGCCATTCCAATATTTTATCACTCTTTCTGTGAAAAATTTCTTCCTAATATCCAACCTATATTTCCCCTGTCGCAGCTTGAGACTGTGTCCTCTCATTCTGACATTCGTTTCTCTTCACAACCAGGGAAATATATGGATGAAATTATTTCTGTTGCACATCCCGGCCAGACTAAAGTAATGCCTTAATTCTCTAGCACTAAAGTCACTATTGGAGAGTTTCTGTTTTTCCCACCGTTTTGGTGACATGGTGAGTGGGAGCTATCAACCCTGCCGTTTAGAAACCCTCTCTCTGCACCAGTGGAACCAGAGGCTGGGCTTTGCTGGTCTAAGAAGCTGAACTTAGTTTTAGTATGGAGCAAAGTTCTCAAGACAACAGCTCTTGAGCTCAGGCAGCTGTTGGTGAGGCTCTGAGACCTTTAATTCAGATATTTCCCCTCTGATTTCTCTGGTGCTGGAGCAGTAACTTCAGTCCCTCTCACGGGCACACAGGGTAGTGCAAACACACCCACAGGTTTCCCTGCCAATTTTCTTTAACCAATTTCTTTTGGACAAAGATTTCTTCTTCCCTTACCCACTGGTTTTCTCCAGTCCTGTCTGATATTAAATATCTACAGGAGCAGCTATAGTTCATGGCTGGATGAATCAATTTGTGCAGAAGATATCATATCAATGACCTTCACAATTTTGTCTGAGCAGCACCTAGAAGCAATTTTTCATCTCTGTCCATTCTTCATTATCTTCACCTATAATTTATCTTAAAACAGAAACTCCAATTTTATTTAAAAAAAACCCACATTTAAAAATAATTTGCAAAGCTGTTGAATGCATTAACATGCCAGTAGGAACTGCGGAAGGCAGATGCTGAGTAGGAAGTACATGTTCATCCTGAACTAGCAGGAGCTGGAGCTGTCAGGGTGTCCCCTGCCATCTGGCCTGTCGGAGCATGTAGCAGATTCACAGCTCTCGAGGGAGGACACGCTGTAGAGGCCATAGGATCCCATTATGCTGTTTATGGGGACAAGTCAGACATTTGTCTCGCTGAGACAGGATGTCAGTGGGGGATGCTACAACCACGCGGTCTTTCCCATAGCCCCTTAAAATCCCGAAGACGAAGGTGGTACTTACAGAAGCGTAGATGTTTAGAAAAAAACGGTGTCGGAACCCTGACGGATTTCAGCTAGACACAGATACTAAAACGGGAAGGGACTGAGCCCGCTCGTGCCCGTCCGGCGCAGAGGGAGCGGACGTGGATCGCTACCAGGGCTCGGCGCTGCGCCGCGGCCACACCGCGCTTGCGAGCACGCCCCAACCCGGAGAAGCTCTGACACCGCCTCCCTCATTACCATCCCTTCCTCCTCCGCCTCCTCCGCCGACCGGCCGCGGAGGGGTGCTTGGCGGCGGCGCCGGAGCGGCGGCGGCTCCCGGCAGCAGCAGCTGCAGCTACTGAGCTGCGCTCCGCCCCGTGCCAGCGCCCGCAGCAACTTTGCCGCTCCGAAGGCTGCGGAAGCGGGGCAATGTAGGCGCACCCGGCGGCAGAGCCTCCCCGGCTGCGCGGAGCAGAGCCCCCCCAGCCTCTTCCCGGTGGGGCGGAGCGGAGTCCCCCTCCTCCATCCTTGGCGGAGCAGCGCGGAACGGAGTGGAGCTCCCCGCTTCTCTTCCTCCTTCCCTGCCTCGTTCCCTCGCCGGCGGCGGCCGCAGCCCACGGCAGGAGCGCGGATGCGGCGCGGAGCCCGGCAGAGCCCATCGAGGGGCCGGGGCCGGGCGCCGCGAAGAGCGGGGGGATGCTGAGCCCCGCCGCCCGGCACCGCGCCCGCCTCCGGGAGATGCTCCTCGTGCTCGCTCTGTGGCTGGCGTGGCAAGAAGTGCCCGCGGCGCCGACACCCGCGGCGGACGACATCACCCTGGGAGTTGTGAGTTACCCGCAGCCCCCCGCTCCTCTCCGCTCCCCCTTCCCCCACCACCCGGCTCGCCGCGTACTCCCCCACCTTCGGGCATCGCGGGCCCACGCGGCACTTGGCGAGCTTCGGCGGCTGGAAGCGCTCCCTGGCGCGCCCCGCTGCCCAGTACCCCCTTTGCCGCTAGTGCCCTCCGTCCTCCTCCCGGTGATCGGGCCCTTTTACACCCGGTGTCCCCTCCAGCATTATCTACGTGGTGCCGCTCGTTGCAGCTGGTGCTCCCCCGCGCAGACGGAAGGGTCTGTTCTTCCCCCCCGCACCCAGTGCACCCACCCCATACCCTCTGCGCCGAGCCCTCCGGAAGCCAGAGTCCCCCTCCCTAGCACCCAGTGCATGGTGGCTCTCCTGCACCCCAGCCTGGTGACCCAGCTTTCCCCCAGGCGAGCGTCGTGGGGCGATGGCCTCACCAGCTTTCACACATGGATGATGATTTCTCAGCCGCTGGGAAAGGGCTGGCCTGTCTCGAGGGCTCCGTGCCTACCGGGGAGCCATACAAACTCCAGCAGCAAGCAGGGTAAAACGACACGTTTGGAGTCAGAGCGATCTACTAGGACTGAGACATGCCTCGGGGATGTGTGAAGGGCTGCTCTGTGCTAGCAGCAGGTGGAGGATTGGCTTCATTGCGGAGGTCTGTACAGCGTGGTCATCCTTGTGGTACTGCTTCTCCCCGCACAGGTGCCTGCTTAGTCTGCAGGTGCATAACAGGTTTCAGCAGGCATGGAGAGCTTAGGTCGCGTCTCTGCCAGGTTACGGTGCCAGCAGGTCTGTACAGCTTCACCCCTCTGAGAGCGAAGCAATTAAGGATTTTCTCCTGAAGGAGAAGTTTCTTGTAGCTTACACCAGTTCTACCTCAGAGACACTGCGTGACTAGAACGAACCTGGGTGTCAGAAAGCCAGCTGTGGCTGGGTGTGGGCGGGCAGTCTTGGGGCTGGATCCGCCAGTTTGGAGAAATTACCTGAAATTTAGTGCGTTTCGAAATGCTGCCAGTGCACTGCTGTGAAAGTGGGAGGGAGGAAGGGTTTGCTGCACGATAAGGTTATCTAATGAGCAGGGCTCGCTTAGAGCAGTGTACTAGGATGCTGCCTCTGCCGCCTGGGCTCCGACTTCAAGCATGTGCTTCGGTTCACAGGCTCCGGCTCAGACACCTGCCAGGGAAGACAAAGCCTATCGTTCCCCATCTGTTCCTAGAAGAATAGAAAATGTGGTGAATATAAAGTATACCTGCATCATTATGGTGCATTCACTTTCCTCTGTTACCAGATGTTAAAACTGGAATTAATATTTCATGCAAAGAGCACACAGATTGATGTATTCTGCCCCAGTCAATTTAACTCAAACTTTGTCTTTGACCTGCTTTTACCCTCTCTACCAAATAAGCTGCACTCAGCTTTTACAGGGTAAATATTAATACTCGAGGGGCTTATTAGTTACTGATGATAACTTTCAGGCATTAAGGTACTTTTTCAGTTCTGGAGTAGATTTGAGCACTCTCTCCAAACACTGCTGGAAGAGCTGGGGCTGCCTGGCAAAGCAGAAGGTGCTGGGGATGGTGGTAATAGAGCAGAAGTGAACTGTGAGAGAAGGGGGTTATGTTTAACCAAGACTTATTTAGGCTGGGAATCCGACATTTAGGATGTATGATGTCAGAGTGCTGTCTCCCTTCTGTTGATGTTCTTGCTAGGGCAAAGAATCTCTCCAGCTTGAGACAGCATTGGTGGGTTTCCAAAGGGGCTGAATGTCAATCAGGTTTATGCTTATGCCCTCTACTGAGCAGCAGAGAGCACAGAAGCCAGATATTTAAAGAGGTTTTGTTAGAATACTACCACTCTCAGGGAAGTGAGAGCCTCAAGAATGATTTGACATCCACTTTGTGAAGCAACTATGAAATTAAAGATCTGTGAGGCATTTCAATCAAATATTTGAAATCTAGGAAACATGACACCATGCCAATAGAAGGCTCTGCTAGGTTTGGAAAATTATATCCAGCACTGTTTACTCTGCAGTAAACAGGGCACAGTGTCAGCAGAGCTTTTATATCCCAGATGCTCACCCCTTGTAACCTAGAGGTTTTCAGTGCTGAGCTGGACTATGCCTCTGAGCTCTGTCTTCTGCTCCACTCTTGCTTGGAGTTTGTTTTTAATGAAACAGTGGTGGTGGGCCAAATTAAAATTCAGCAAAATGAAAGAGGGCTATAATTCAAAGGCAGTTCTTGTTAGCATGCTGCCCAAAGCAACGTAACATGGAATGATTCTCCAGATTTCATTACTAGTGGAATATGCTGCCCAGATTATGAATCTAACTTGATTATCAATGTTTTTATTGTTCTCCATTAGCTGCCCTGACAAAGGGAACATAAAATAGCTGATGGAACAGAGCTTGACTTGAGTGATTCTGCTGAATTTTAGTACACCACTTTTGAGATTTATGACTTTGCGTTTTGCACTACTGCCTTTACAGTAAACCTCCAACCCCTCCTCACCACACAGCATTCGCAAATTGCATCTTGTTATGGCTGTTGAGCTCAGACATCTCAGGGGTGCAGGCAGCAAAAACTTCTGTACGCTAGTATTAACTTGGTAATGAGAGCTCTCATTTCACTGGGCTTTGTACCAGGTCTGGGGGGAGGTCTACCTCCAAGCAGTGCTTTTCAGAATAGCTGGCGTGTGGAGCCTGAACACTGAAGGTGCTGACCTGGAGATCGGCTGGTTTGTAAGGGAGCCGGCTGTTCCTGCAGGTAGCTCCTGCCCACTGGGCTGCATTGCTGCTGTTGCGAGGACATGGCTATGTGGGGCAAAACCTGTGGCTTGGTGATGGACTGATGCCTGAGGCTGGGCTAGCTTGGCCCTAGGGAGATGTTTTGCCTTAGGGAGTTACTTTGACTGGCACAGAGGTTGCCAGAGAGGAATGGGGTGGTGTGGGTAGCATCACTGAGATCATCCTGTGTGGACATGGGCTCTGGCATCAGTGGCTGAGGCATGCAGGCGTGCCAGGAAAGTTTTAGTTTGGTTACAAGAGCATGGGTGAAAAAAAGACGACAGAGTGGCTTTTTCTTGCCTTTGTGACCAGGGATGAGAGGGAAGGTCTATGTATGCCCCAGGGCGTTTCTCCAGCTGGGGATTGCTGGGCATTCTTGGGGGCTTGCGTATGCACAGCCTCTTGCTCACAAAGCCCTGTCTGTGTTGTTCGCGGTTGAAGTTGCTTCCAGGGTTTGGAGGCATTTGCATTCATCGGTGGAGACTAGGACCCGCGTTATCCCAAGTGGCTCTTTGTTTAGGGCAGCGCCCTCGCCTTTGGGGCCCGCTTCTCATTTGAATGACAAGGATGCATTTGTGGGCAGAGCGTGGTGGCACTGAGCCCTTCGGGGCTGTGCCCTCCTCCCCCCCACCTCCCCCTTCCTCCTGCTGCCTGTGGTGGGCCAGGGGAGAGACAGAGGTTCCTGTGTTCCCATGTCAGGGAGCAGTGGGACAGGAGGAACAGCAGTTTCCTATGAGTGTGTGCCCTGCATCTCCCAAGTGCCAAATTTCAGAGTAGAAGCCAGCCCAAAACTCATCCTTGCTGTTTCTGGAGTGCTTCCACAGCCCTGAGTAAGGTAGGACCATCCTGCTACCCACATGCTGCACCCTGGTCCAGCTGCCCTCATGCTCCAATCTGCCCAGCGTCAGCCAAGAGCTCCCCTAAACTCTTGCATTTAAGTACCCAGTGGGGCATGTCCCTGAGACATGGCTTAGCTCCTTATTCAAGGCTTGAGGTAATCAGCCTCTCAAAGTAAAGTCCTTGTACAAATGTAGGCTGTTCCCTATATCAGGAGAAAATACTGTACTTCTTCTGTTTCTGCTAATGGGGAAATTAAAAATGGATAATTTCAGTTGGAGCTTCATTCAGCCTTCTAAAATGGTGAGTCTTTAAGGACAGAATACTTAATAGACTCCCTAAACAGCCTTGGAGAAAGGAGCTTTGCTTGGCCCCTCTGCCATTAAAGGACTTCATGCCTTCCCATATGGAACAGTGCCCATCCCAGGTCCATGAATTCTCTTCAAGAAAGCTAAGCTTCCATATTAAAAAAAAAAAATAAAATAAAGTTGGTTGCATTTTAAAGTACCTCCTGAAGCCAAAGTACAATGCAAACTAAATTGACAAAAATGCTGTCTGGAAGCTTTCAAACAGCTAGGCTGCTGTGAAAGCATTTAATCTGGTATTAAAGGCCTAGTTGGTGTAAGCTGCTACTTCCCTTTCAGATTTGAGACCTCCATGTACAGTAATGCAATTTCCTCCTGGGCATGGCTGCTATTGTGGTTCCAGCCGTGGGAACTAGCCAGGGTAGTCAGGCTAAATTACCCACTTTAATGAAATTCAGGACGTGTTCAGAGCCAGTGGATGAAACCTTGCTGTCACCAGGGACTTCCCTACAGTTAGTGCTGGGGATGGAGCAGTGAGCTCCTGCACTGGCATCACTCTATGGATATTCTCAGTTCAGTCAGAGAGAAAAGGAGAGATTTCTACTAGGCTGAGCCTGGGAAAGAGTTCAAAAGGAATGTAAATAATTCACTATCTCCCTTGTTGTTCACATTGTTTATAGACATGTTCTGCTACCGTGCGCCATTCACAACGCACCCATAGTGTGAGATGTTTTTACTTTAAGACCAGTGAAATTGGTCTGCACAATGTGCTCTATAAAAAGAGCGGTGTATTTGAAACAAATCAGTTCTCTTCTTGTCTTCTGACTTGGAGTCTTCATTATCCCCATCCTGCCTCAACAGGGACATCACTCTTCATCCTTGTTGCTGTGTTGGGGGTAGAAGTTCCTGGCTAGCAGGCATCCCCTTCCCTGGGGGCAGCATGTAGTGGGGCTGTACCTCCATCTTCTCCTTTTGCCTCTAAAATCTGGGATGAAGGGAGATTGCTGCCTGTGTGACTCAGCCTGGATATTTAGTTATTATTCTGCATTAAATTAAAC